TTCTTGCAGGAGAGGCGGTGCATCTGTCCCCGGCGGGGCGGGAACCGGGATTCTTTCCCAAGGACACTCTTCCGTGGAGGCTGCGCTGGGGACTCCTTCCCGACGGCGCAGCGCCCCCTTCTGGCTGCGTTAGCGAGGTTTCTCCAGGAATGTGCCCACGCAACGGGTGTTTACATTCAGGGTCACTTGCGGTTGAAGTACCGACAGGGTTTTTCAAGGAACTTGGTAAGCTGGTTCGAGAGATTTCTGTGGAGGAGCTCAGGGCTCCAGCCAAAGAAGCAGCGAGAGGGGACTTTCCTCCCAGAGATCGAGACGCGCTAGCGCTCCCTGGGTGAATGCCCTGTGGCGTGGGCATGGGCCCGTGTCTGCAGACCCGCGGGGGGCCAGGCACGCCCGGCCGTCAGGGCAGAAAGGCCAGCCCACGGGATACAAGGCGCCCGGGACGACCGGTTCCCCAGGCGGGAGAACGCGAATCGGAACCCCTTCCTCTCACCCTCCACAAAAAACACGTCCAGGTGGATCAGACTCACAATCAGCAGGACGCTAAAACCTTTCGATTTTTTCCCCGAAGTTAATTCACTTACTTTGAGAGAGGCAGAGACGGTGTGAGTGGGGGAGAGGCAGAGAAAGAGAATCCCAAGCAGGCTCTGCGTGGTCAGCATAGAGCCTGACGCGGGGCTGGAACCCATGAACCGTGAGATCATGACCTGAGCCAAAACCAAGAGCCTACGCTTAACGGACTGAGCCCCCCAGGCGCCCCTCGAACAAAGCCTTTCCAAAGCGAGTTAGGAGAACATCTTACGACCTCCCGGTAGACTACTCACACGAGACCCCATAGGAGCAGAAAAGCAACACATCTGGACTAATTCAGAGTTTCCATGACTTTGCTGCCAGGATGAACGTTCAGAGTCTACATAAAGAATGCCTGCAAGTGAATGCGAAAACATAAACAATCTCTAGAAAAAGCAATAAGGGCCTGAACAGGCACTTGCACAGCAGACAGGAAAAACACCCCGTCTCTTCGGAAACACAGGAAGCGCCACAGAAATCTCGAGGGTCCATGTTCACCAGCTTCTCACAAACCGTCAAGTTGTGACGTCAATTCCAAACATCGGAGAGGACGCAGGGGAACCAACACTGTGTGTCTGGTCTTGGGAGTGCCGGATGGCGCCCTCATTTTGAAAACAATGTAGTGTTTGCTGGGGATGCTCACACACATGCATACAACCACCCACTTGTTCCTAGGAAGTTCCCCCAGGGAAATGCGTGCAAATGCAAAAAAAAAAAAAAAAAAAAAAAAAAAAAAAAAAAAAAAAAAAAAACCAGCCTGGAGCTAGAGACCCCTGCGTGCTCGTGCTCACGCTCATGCTCATGCACTCAGATGATGACGTGCAGGCTTCAGGGGAGCCAGGCCAGAAAACGGTGCGGCAACCACAATAAACCAACCACAACTTCAGAGGTCTACGTGGACGGACCTCAGAAGTCACCTGAGCGAAAGAAGCAAGTTACAGAACCATCTGTGCAGCACGTAAACATAAACTGCGGTCCAGCACCAGGAAACGCAACAGATATATTTATTTAGGGGGAAAAATATATATGAACGCAAATGCGTGGATAAGTGGAACACTATAGAGAGAAATATGAGACTAACGAACGTAAAACCCAAGAGAGTGCGTGGCTCTGACTGGGGCCACGGAGGGGTCTTTGATGTACCCGTTCCCCTCTTGTGTGTTTGTTTGTTTTTTAATAGGTTTCACGCCCAGCGAGGAGCCCTGTGCGGGGCATAGGACCCATGACCCTGAGAAAAAGACCTGGGCTGAGATCAGAAGCCGGATGCTTAACCCACTGAGCCGCCCAGGTGCCCCCGTGTTGTTAGTCTTCCCACCGTGCACAATTGCCCCACCTGCTCTCCTGTGTGTCTGCTGTGCCTCACAAGGCACCACAGCCTTTTCCCCTTCCCGGGGTCCCTTTGGTAAATCCGCTCTCCTCAGGACAGGTGGTGGGTGGGCCTCCCCTGTGCCCACACCGTGAGGTTCAGGAGCACCCCTAGCTCACTGTGCATACACGGATCCTGGTGCACAAGTGTTTGCTGAATGACTGAATGAGCACGTGAAGAAAGGGAGCAGTGAGTTGTGAACGTGAATGAAGGGAAGGGTCACCAAAGGGGACTCTGGATGTGGCCGGAAGGGGGAGCCAGAGCCCTAAAGGCCAATCACAGGAAGAATCATGACTTACAGGCCCCACCAGGGAAAGATGCGCACTACCTCTCCTATGGGAAACCCACCCCCTGAAACTCACCAGTGGCCGTCACTCTGAACTCTCGCTTTTCTCCAGTGGACGTGGGTTCAGAATAACCCCTTCCTCCATCTCCTCCATAAAATAGCATCGTCTCCTTTCTTTGTCAGATCTCTGCCTGTAGTTTTGCTGGAGTTTGTAAATGCCCAACTGCGATTCTGTCATTCCCAAATACACCAATTTTTGCTAGTCAAATAGACTGTCTTATTTTTCAGGTGAACAGAGTGAAAGGCCTTTACCGGTTAAGAGGTTTCAGCCATAAGACGCGGCGCCTCCCAATGGGGAGACTGAGGCAGGCATAGCCAAGATGTCCGTGGGCCTCAGCAAGGGTCTGCGACCTGGGAGGTCTGGATCCCTCCGGCTGCACCTCTCTGCAAAGGCATTCCTCTGCCAGGACCCAGGGCCAGGCCACATGTAGCACATCTGGAGCCCTCCTCCCCCCCCCCCCCCCCCCCCAGTCACCCCTAGGTTCCCAGAGGCCCCTCCCATGGTGAGTTCCTGCCAGGAGCCCCCTTTCGTGCCCCCCAGCCCACCTCCCACTCAGGAAGGACGTCTCTGCACCAAGGAGGGAGGTTGCGGCCCCGGTTCTGTCTCAGAGAGAACTCACTCTCAGGCTTCGTCCTGGCTGCCCCCTGCTCCCTGCCTGCTTTCCTTCTCTTCCAGGACTAATCTGGGCCCTGGGCCATGAGCCCTCCCGCATCCAGGCCTCCACTACCCTGGCCCCATCCTCTCCCGGCTGGTGGGTCTCTGTCCGAGGACCAACCAGAGCATCAGGGAACCCTGCTTGGGCTCAGTGTGGTGAGGTGTGGGGGCCGGGAGGGGGGCCAGCACAGGGTGGGCGGGCCTGTAGGCAGCGCCCCGGCTGCCCTTTCTTGCGCTGGGCTCCCTGTGGGCCGCCTTTGTCTCTTTCTTTTCAACTTAATCTGCAGGCCTCTCCCTCCTCTGGGCTCTCCCCGTGGAAGAAAGGCCTAGAGGGAGGGGCAGGGGGGTGCCCGCAGAGCCAGAGCCCTGTGCTGGCCACACCCGGAGACTCTGCTGGGGCCCAGCCAGACGGGGTTGCGAGCAGGCTGAACCATCTCCGGGATTCCCACCCTTTCTGCTGTCGGGGTCCAGAGCTGAAAGAAAAGCTCCTTCACTAGGCCAGTGACACCAGCCTCTCAGCCTGGGCAGCATCCCAGCCCAATTGTCCCTGCTGGTTCTAGCCAGCCCGGGTGCTGCCCAGACCCCGTCCCCATCAAAGGCCACCCTTTGGCCACCACACCCCTGCCCCCAGTCACTGGCGCTCGGGGTGGTCTTGCCACATGGCTCCCTGCTGTTACATGGCTGGGATTCTTGGTGCTGGAATTCCTGTTTTGCCTAAGGCCCAGAGTGGGGGTGGCTCCTGGCCAGGGAAAGGGGTGATGCTTGGCTAGGCTGGCTCACAGGGTGCCTAGGGAGTTAAAGCACAGAAGCCAGACGTTTCAGGGGATTAAGGGCAGAGCTGAGGTCTAGGGCTGGCTGAGCGCTTCCCTATCCCAGTCAGCATCCAGGGACCCGTTGGCGGACAACCAGGGCTGGGAGATCTTTTCCCTTATCTCCTTGCCCGGTGCACAGAGGACCCGCCTCCTGCTCCCCATCCCCTGCCCTCCCCAGTCCAGGCTTCTGGGCACCCCACTCTGCAGGCAGAGGGGGTGTCAGGGATGGGCCAGCCCCTGAGCCGGGAGACTGGCACTGGTCCGTATGAGCTTGGGCTCTGGTCTCTCAGTTCACTGTAAGTGTGACCACCCTGTCCCTTTCTCTAGGTGTGTCCTCACCTGTCACCTTGGCACTAGGGCTGTGTGTGGGATAGGTCTGGCTTCATGTTGCTTGGCTGCCCAGCTTTGAGCCCTCAGCACCTTGAGGGCAGGCCCAGACTGGGTCACTCTGATGTCCCCAGGGCCTGACTGTACATTTGCAGCTACCTGCCGTGTGGCCTACAGCTGGGTCAGCACCACTGGCTGGCTGGCCCTTGATTTCATGGAGAGTACGGCAGGACCCCAGCCAGGACCGGTGCAGCTCCTGTCGCTAGTGGTGGCTCCTTCCGTCAGGATCGGGCCGGAGAAAAGCTGGCCACTCCGGCAGCCTGGCCCTCTGAACGAGGCTGCCTGAGAGCCAGCCCAGCCCACCCTTCCAGGCCAGGCCTCCTGCCTAGACTCTCCTGGAGAGGGCTGGGGTTTCTCTAGGTCCTGCCCAGGGGAGGTGGGGGGAATCCCCCAGTGCCCACAGGCCGACCCTGGTAGCCAGCACGAGGGGTCAGGGGGACGCGGCAGAGGGGACGAGTGTCGGAACTGGGCGGACAGGAAGCAGGAGGTGCTCGATAGCCGCGACCGGGGGCGCTGGGAGGGGCGGCGCGGGTGATTCAGCCGACACTTCTCCCACCTGCGCTCGCGGGGCGGGCGGGCGGTGGGCGGGGCGGCCAGTCAGTGGGCGGTCCTGGTCCGCCAGTGGGCGTGGCCAGCCGTGGCCTCTGTCCGCGCCCCGCCCTGGGCGCCTACCCCCGGGCCCCGGGCCCCCGGCCTCCAGCTCCCTGCCGCCCCTTCGACAACGCCTGGTGCGCCCGCGCGCCCGCCCATGGCTGGGAAGGTGCTGTCGCTGCTGCCGCCGTTGCTGCTGGCCGCGGCGGGCCTCGCCGGGCTCCTACTGCTGTGCGTCCCCACTCGAGACATCTGGGAGCTGCCCGCCCTCAAGGTGCACGCTCGGGCATCCGGCGCAGTCCGCGGAGTTGCGGGCCCCGGCTGGGAGGCTTGGACCCGAGCAGGGCCAGGCTGCGCTCCCGCGGCAGCCGGGGACCCCCACCCGCGCTGCGCTGCGCTCCTGGCCGGGCGGGGGGTGGAGTCCCGGGAACTCCCCGCTCGCGGTGCCCGTCGCGTACGTAGCCTGTCAGGGACGCGGCCGAGAAGCTGTCTCTCCGCTCCCCAGATGCAGCCCCAGGACGCCCCAGGCTGCGGCTGGACCCGCCGCCCCCAGCCCTGTGCTGCGCCCCAGGGATGCATACCCTCAGGGTTCAGTCAGATGGGGTGCGGCGGGCGTCAGAGCCTAGGGACCCCTCCCCACCCACCCGGTGGCCCTGACAGTGCGGGGTCTGCCCTTGAGGGGCGCCCGGTGGGAGGACAGGCCCGGCTGGTCCTAGAGGCGTTGGGGTGGGCTAGGCCAGATCTGCTCCCGCCAGGCTCCTGCAGTCCTGCCGGCTCCCTTGACCCTTTATTGGACTGGTAGGAAGAGAGCTTTGCTGGGGGCATGTGGGTGCTCCAAGCCAAGCCCCAGCAGCCCAGGATGGGAGGTCGCAGGAGTGGGCGCTCTGCAGCCAAGGGCCACAGCTTGGGGGCTGCTGAGGCTGGGCGGCGGTTAGCCCGCTGATGCTGCTGTTCCCGGGTTGGGGAATAGGCCTGGAGAGGCCCCTTTCCCCTGCTCAAGAGGGCACGGGCTCCAGTGGGGTTCTCAGTGCTGGGAGCCTGGCCCTTGGAACTGCAAGGAAGGCCCACGTGGCCCCTCTCAGCTCTGCAGGACCCAGCTCAGAGGTGCTGGCCTTGAGGCTCAGGGAGGGGGTGAGGCATGCTTCCACATCCTGAGGCTGGGCTGAGGTCAGAGAGGTAGGGACACAGACGTGGAGAAAGCGTGGGTGCAGGTGTTCCTGCAACTGGGTTTCTCTACTGCAACCTGGGGACCTCACGTCCCTAGGGCGTTTCCGAGGGTGGTCCCGGGACTTTTCTGACACTGACACAACCCTTCAGCTTGCCCCTGCCAGGAAAGTTCCTGCAGTCAGAGGAGAAAAGGCTCCTGGCTGTCTACCCCTGCCCCCATTCTCTCCCCTACCAAGCCGTGTCTCTGTGGTCCCTGCCGCCTGAACCCCAGTACTTCATTCTGGAGGTTCCAACCTTGCCACAGGGTGGGGGTGGGGGGAGACCCGGGGAGCCAAGGGGCGTGGCCTCAGGTCCCCACCCTCACCCCCATTCCCAGTACGGCATTGTCCTGGACGCGGGCTCTTCGCACACGTCCATGTTCATCTACAAGTGGCCTGCAGACAAGGAGAATGACACAGGCATCGTGGGCCAGCACAGCTCCTGTAATGTACGCGGTAAGGCCCCCTGCGCCTGGACACCCGCTCCACTCACTGTAGGGCCTCAGGCGCCCTCTCTGGCCTTAGCCTCTGAAGCCAGGCGCCTTGGCTCGATGCCACTGGGGCCTGCTCCAGGAAGGAGCTGCAGGAGCCTCCAAAAGAGGCTGGGACCTTGGGCCTGGGAGAGGCTACAGGCAGTTCATTCTAGAAAGTAAGCCTCAGGCAGTGACTGGGAGGTTTGGGCTTTGCCTGACCCAAGACTGGCACACCCAGGCAGGCCCCTTGGGAGGCTAGGCCAGATTGACAATGCCTAGTGCTTTATCCTGGCACCTGGGCCCACACCCATGGGCGGGCAGCAGCCTTAGAGACTGGGTGGCCCAAAGGCAGGTAGGCCCTTTTGTCTCTGAGGGCTTAAACTGGGAAGGTATGTCCAAGCTGCCACCGGGCTTGGGAGCCCAAGGTCCCCAGCCCTCCTGGCCCATGGCTCTTCCAGGGGCTGGCTGTCAGGCTTGGGCCCATCTCCCTGTCCGCCTCCAGGAGGGGGCATCTCCAGCTACGCAGACGACCCTTCCAGGGCTGGCCAGAGTCTCGTTGAATGCCTGGACCAGGCGCTTCAGGAGGTGCCCAAGGAGAGCCATGTGCACACGCCCCTCTACCTGGGAGCCACAGCAGGCATGCGCCTGCTCAAGTGAGTGTGCCCTTGACCTTCCTGGTCTCCACAAGAGCCTCAGCATAGGGTGGGCCCCACACACCCTCAGCAGCAGCCCTGAGCGGGGACCCACGCTGCCGACCGGCCACACACGGTGCACCCCAGCAGCAGGATCTTGGCTCCCTGGCGAGGATGGCCCTCAGAGTCCTCCCTGTGTTACAGCCTGACCAGTCCCGAGGCCTCGGCCAATGTGCTCGCGGCTGTGACCCGGACGCTGACCCGGTATCCCTTCGATTTCCGTGGTGCCCACATCCTCTCGGGCCAGGACGAGGGGGTGTTCGGTTGGGTGACGGCCAACTACCTGCTGGAGAACTTCATCAAGGTGGGCCCGATGGTCAGCCCAGCGAGCCAGGGGGCGTGGCACCCACCCACCAGCTGACCCCCACCCTCCGCTCCCCACAGTATGGCTGGGTGGGCCGGTGGTTCCGGCCAAGGAAGGGGACGCTGGGGGCCATGGACCTGGGGGGCGCCTCCACACAGATCACCTTCGAGATGGCCAGCCCAGCCGAGGATCCAGCCAATGAGGTCCGGCTGCGGCTCTATGGCCAGCACTACTGCGTCTACACCCACAGCTTCCTCTGCTATGGCCGTGACCAGGTCCTCCGGAGGCTGCTGGCTGGTGCACTCCAGGTGCCCCACCACCCCTGGCCCGCCTGCACCGCTGTGCCCTCCTGGAGGGAGGGGGGTGAGAAGAGATGGGAGCTGAGGGTTCAGAGCAGAGCCTGGACCGAGGAGGGCTCCTCCGGCAACAGGAACCAAAGCTGGGTTGTAATCAGCTGGCAGGATAGATGCGGAGGGATCCTTCCTGGGGAAAAGCCAAGTGGTGGTGGGGTGGGGGGTGGGGGGGTCTGGTGAGTGCCTGACTGGGGGAAAGGGGGGCCAGGGCCAGGTCTCCAAAGGCCTGGATTTTGTCCAGCAGATAAAGGGAAGCCATAGATTGCTCCTGAGTGCAGAAAGCGATGTTGCCCAAGCGGGACTTACGAGAGAGTCAACAGGCAGGCCCTCTGGGGAGACTTTCCAAAGGCCCTGGGCAAGGGGTAGCGGGCAGACTCTGGAGGAAGAGTGATGCCTATCACAGCCCTACATTCCCCTAGACCCACGGCTTCCACCCTTGCTGGCCGAGGGGCTATTCTACCCAAGTGCTGCTTCAGGACGTGTATGAGTCTCCGTGTACCGCGGCCCAGCGGCCCCAGACCTTCAACAGCAGCACCCGGGTCAGCCTGGCAGGGAGCAGCGACCCTGCCCTCTGCCGTGGCCTCATCTTAGGACTCTTCAATTTCTCCTCCTGCCGCTTCTCCCGATGTTCCTTTAATGGCATCTTCCAGCCCCCAGTGGCCGGGAACTTCATGGTGAGTCCCGGGGGTGGGAGTGGGGGCGGGTGCCCTGTGGCGTGTGGGGCTCATGGGGAGACCGTACCCCCCTTGCAGGCCTTCTCTGCTTTCTTCTACACCGTGGACTTCCTAAGGTCTGTGATGGGGCTTCCCGTGGCAACCCTGCAGCAGCTGGAGACAGCCGTAGTCACCGTCTGCAACCAGACGTGGAGTCAGGTGAGGCCTACTCCCGCCTTCCCCGGGGTCACACAGGAGGCCCCGGTCAGCTGGCATCCTGCCTCCCTGAGGCCCGACCCTAGAACCGAGATCTGGAGGACAGAGCGAATAGCAAAGGCCCCGTGGCAGCAGGGCGCACAGAGGGAGATGGGGTGGGGACCGGTTGCAGCGGGAAGGACCGGCGGAGTTTAGGGGTGGGGAAGCCAGACTTTGAAGACGACACCCAGGCTTCTGGGGCCTGCCACCGGTTAGACGCTGTTACCAAGTAAAGGAAGACGGAAGCGCTTACTCAGGCGGAGTGTCAGGTGTCTGCCAGACCCCGGGAGAAACACAGTGTCTGTGGGCTCTGGTGGTGACCGAGGCCCCGTCCTGTCTTCTCTGGGTCTAGTCGCGGGCAGACTTAGGGGGCGCGGGGAAGCGGGGGACAAAAGGCCAGCCCGAGGTCCATGCGGAGGGCCTGGAGCTTCTCCTGTTGCCCTGACCACGGGCTAAGGTCGCTGCCAGCCTGCTGCGCCCTGGGTGGTCATCCCTGCTGTGCCCCCCGGGGGCCCACCTCCAAGGCAGGGGTGTCCACTGCCATCCATCCACAAATCACACTGTCCTTCCTGGAGGGCACAGTCCTGCCCTGGGGGCGGGGGGAGGAGGTGGCCCGGGGGGG